ATTATAAGGCATGCAGGGACAGGCTATAAACACCAGAACAGGTAAAGTAGGAGAAGGAGCACAAAGGAACAGAAATGAACAGGAAGGGTCAGCAAGGAGCCGGAAGGTAAAGCAGCACAAAGGTAAAGTAGAAGGAGCAGAAAGGGTCAGAAATGAGCAGCAAGGAGCAGGAAAGGGCAGCAAGGAGCAGAAAGGGACAGCAAGGAGCACAAAGGTAAAGGAGCAGAAAGAATCAGAAGGAGCACAAATCTAGTATTAAACTGCAGTGGTTCTGGGGACTATAGTGTTTCTTTAATGTGAGGTAAATTAGAGATTAGTGCCACGAATAATATACTAGATTGTCTAATTACAACGAGATGAGGATGATGATGGGCTCTAGCTGCAGTCTGGCTCCACTGGTCTGGTGCAGAACAGACTCTCTGGAGGCTGTTTGTAACTGTGGTCACAAAAATCAATGTTCTGGGAGAATGGGAAGCAGCTCCATTTTTTGGGGGCCCTTTACACAGCTCAAGGTCTGGGTCCCAGGGTCCACCTTCATGTTCCACCAATGAGTTTGTTCACAGGGGTGGAGTGTGTAGGGGATGTCCTGATATGTGTGTAAGGAATGCATTGTGTGAATCTGTGTTTGTATGTGTAAGGGCTGCAAGGTGTGTTTCTGTGTATGTACAGGTTGCAGTGTGTGCGTGTGTAAGGGGTGCATTGAGTGTGTGTAAGGAATGCATTGTGTGTTTCTGTGTGTGTAAGAGATGCATTGTGTGTAAGGGTTGCATTGTTTGTGTGTGTGTGTGTGTGTCTGTGTGTAATGCATTGTGTGTTTTTCTGTGTGTGTGATGGATGTCAATTTCTCCCCCCTCCCTTGTCACTTTCTTCTCCACCCTCTCCCTTGTCACTCTCTTCTCCCCCCTCTCCCTTGTCACTCTCTTCTCCCCCCTCTCCCTTGTCACTCTCTTCTCCCCTCCCCCTTCCCACTCTCATTGCCCCTCCCTCCCTTCACACTGTCACACCCCCACAGATTCTCACCCATTACAACACTGTCATCATGGGCGTCCGCAGGGGGGGGCAAGGCGGGGCACTTGCGCCCCCCTGGATTTTTCAGCCTGTTTTGCTATTTTTCGTGTGATTTAAAATGAACTGCAATCCAGTAGCTGGCGCTGTGTATGGAGAGAGACAGGGATAGGAAGCTGCATCTTATCCCTGCTTCTCTCTGCTGATTGAAACCGCAGGGGAACAACACATGCAGCCAGAGACAGCCTACAGATCAGGTAAGTGGGGGGAGGGTTTGAGATAGCCTATAGATTTGGGGGGGCAGCAGCCTATAGATTTTTTTGGGGGGAGGGGGCAGCAGCCTATAGATTTTTTTTGGGGGGGCAGCAGCCTATAGATTTTGGGGGGGCAGCAGCCTATAGATAAGGGAAGTGAGCATAGGCGTGCACAGCCTATTGCATTAGGGTGTGCACCCTAAAGCACAAACACGCCATGTGTATATGTATGTGTGTGTATGTATATATATATATACATGTATACACACACACACTGCTGTGTGTGTGTGTGAGGGTGCTGTTAGTGTGCTGTGTGTGAGGGTGCTGTTTGTGAGGGAACTGGTAGTGTGCTGTGTCTGTGTGTGTGTGTGTGAGAGGGTGTTTGTGTGTGCGTGTTTGTTCGGGTCCTGTTAGTGTGCTGTTTGTGTGCGGGTGTTGTGTGTTTGTCAGGGTGCTGTTTGTATGAGAGTGTGCTGTTTGTATGAGAGTGTGCTGTTTGTGTGTGGGTGCTGTGCGGGTGTTGTGTGTGGGTTTTGTGTGTTTGTGAGGATGCTGTTAGTGTGCTGGGTGTGTGTGGGTGTTGTATGTGTGTGGGTGCTGTGTGTGCGAGGGTGATGTATGTGTGTAGGTGCTGTGTGTGTGTGTGGGTGCTGTTTGTGGGCTGTGTGTGCTGTATGTTTGGGTGGAGGTGGGGGCAGACTAGTTAATATCCCAGTCCTGCTGCCTTCCCTGGTGGTTCAGTAGAGAGTGAACGCTAGCCCGGGTTCTCTGCTGCCTCCCTCCATGCTGCTGTGGACCGGTGAGGTAGAACTTTGATCTCCCCACCGGCCCATGGAGGCTTAGACCAGAGCCGCCGCTCGGATAGCGTCGGCTCTTCATGAGCCGACCGGGGAGATCCAGAGATCTCCCCTGCCGGTCTCAATCCATTGGCGTGCCGCGTGGATTAGGGTGTGCCCAGGCACACCCGACACACCCCGTGCGCACGCCTATAGAAGTGAGGGATGGGGGAGACAGCCTACATGAAGAGTCAGCAAGATGCAGGAAGATAAGGTAAGAAAAGGAGAAGGAATAGAAATGAGCAGGAAGGGACATCAAGTGGCAGAAAGGGGCAGAAAGGAGCTGGAAGGGACAGCAAGGAGCACAAAAGGTAAAGTAGGAGAAGGAGCACAAAGGAACAGAAATGAACAGGAAGGGTCAGCAAGGAGCCGGAAGGTAAAGCAGCACAAAGGTAAAGTAGAAGGAGCAGAAAGGGTCAGAAATGAGCAGCAAGGAGCAGGAAAGGGCAGCAAGGAGCAGAAAGGGACAGCAAGGAGCACAAAGGTAAAGGAGCAGAAAGAATCAGAAGGAGCACAAAGGTAAAGTAGGAGAAAGAGCAGAAAGGGACAGCAAGGAGAACAAAGGTAAAGTAGAAAAGGGAGCAGAAAGGGACAGCAAGGAGCACAAAGGTAAAGTAGAAAAGGGAGCAGAAAGGGTCTGCAAGGAGCAGAAAGGGATCAGAATGAGAAAGGAGCAGAAGGGCGCTAAATAAGCAGAAAGTAGCAGAAAGGTAAAAGAACAGAAGGGGCCAAGGATAGAAAACAGTGTCAGAAGAAAAAAAAAAAAAGACTGTCAAATGAAGGAGAGGAAAAGGAGATTGGAGCAGGAAGGACAAATGAAGTGAACCCTCCACTTTATTCTGGACACCACATCATAAGGCTTTGGTACCTGGGCCAGGCAGGGAAACGCTGGACCTTCTAATCTCCAAAGGTAAAAAAATATCAGTATTAATGTGTTCACTTTTATTTACTGAGTGTCAGGAAGCACAGAGTGCCGTTGGGTAGGGGTGTTGCTGATTGGCTAGAGCGGTCAGCTGGCACTCTAAGCCAATCAGTAACTCCCCATTCATAAAAAAGTAAAAATATTTTATGAACCGGGAAGTAGCGATTGGCTTAGAGCGTCAACTGTCCACTCTAGCCAATCAGCGGCACCCATGCCTGACGTCAGTCTGCACTTCCTGACACTCTGTTTCAGAAGCCAAATACCACTGACCTGGAGCTGGAGGAAGCCTTTGAGGTTAAACCATTTGAGAGCGATTTAACCCCTTAAAGGAAAGCGAGCACCAAGGGGCTTCCTGGCATCATAGCATTTTCATTTAGGTGAAGTTGTTATGGTGACCAGAATGGTCCTTTAATTTGCTTAAAGGAACACCATAGTTTCAGGAATACAAACATATATTCCTGGCACCATAGTTGTGAAAACGCTATTCACCCTGGCTTTATGTGATAATGGCTATGCCCCTTCCCTTTCATGACACTGTCAAAAAGGTACCAAGCATGGATGTCATTACAATTATGCCCCCCCCCTGGAAAAATTCCTGCGGACGCCCATGACTGTCATCCCCCTTCCACACTTTCAGCCCCTTCATGCATCCACACTCACATTAACCACTCCTAATCCTGGATGGAGTTATAATGGCAGTGTATGCACTGCTTAG